GACGTACCCAACCCACGCGCATCAAATGGCAAGAGGAGTATGCCAACACTAGCAGGAACAACGACAGTGTAGACGCGGCGATTTGTTGTGCAAGCTACATGGGATGCGCATGCGTTGCACGATTCACAGGACGACGATCGAAAGAACGAGAGGCTTGAGGCCCCAGGATCGAAGAAGAACGGGCACGGGAACGAGGGGTAGGAAAGGGATGGAATGGAGGGCGGGGGGGGCGAAAGGCCATCGCGGAAGCAGCAGCATGCATGGAGAAGGTGAGGCGGGGAATAGGACGACGATGAAAGTGGCGGGAGGAGACAGAAGACTGCCGCGTTTTTCAAGTGCGAGCTAAACCCGCAGCGCTGCCTGCGCCATGTCGTCGCAGAGTTCCACATGATAAAACTTGTTTAGAGTGCAAGGAACGAGCGAGGCGTAGCTCGCCCGCTAGCTTCTCCGCCTCCTTCCCGCACATTTCAGCGCGGGAGCTGAACGCTCGCAGGCGCGCCGCCAGGTCTGCGGGCGGCCCGCGGGAAAGAAACTCAAGGCCGGGGTCGCGTATCATCAATCGGTTGTCCATCGTCCAAAGTTGCACTGGCGACGTACTGGTTGAACGCGGAGCGAGCAGCATCACGCGCGTGCCTGAACGCCACGCAGGTACAGTGCACGCGCGATTGGGACTTCAGGTCGATCACGCGCGTCTCCACCAGGCTTGGCAACACCACGCGACTGAGGATCTCACTGCGGTCTGCCATGCTGCTGTCCGCGAATGCAATGCGCTGCCTGCAAGTAAGGCGGCGGCGTCCACTTGTCTCAGAAGATGTTCCCGCGGGCCCGAAGGGCGACCGCCAGCTCGAGCCGCGGCGCCGGCAGGCCAGATAAGGATCATGCAACAGCAAAGACGATGACAGAGCAACGAGGTATCGGCGAGTGCATGACCGGCCTCCGTTTCCTGCACTTCTTTCCTGTAGTTCCCCTAGCTCATCGAGCTCAGCAGATGTTTCTGCGGGTCCGAAGGACGACCGCCAGCTCGAGTCGCAGCGCCGACGAGCTGCATCCACATCAGGCAACACCCCAGGAGACACTGGCACACAACGATTTGACGTCAGTCAGTGCCAGACCACTCCATGTCTAGTTCCTCGCACACATACAGTCGATCGCAGATGCGGGATAATCGAAGTAGAATGACGGGTCCAATCTGCGTCCGCGTAGGACGTCACTATGCTGGACCCCGCAGCAGGTCTCGAAAGTGGCGACAGTTTCATGGGCCCCACAGCAGCCCTCGAAAGTGGCGACAGTTTCACAGATCGTAGCCCCCCAGCGCTGGCGAGGTCTAATCTGAGTCCCCGTAGGACGTCACTCCGCTGGCCCCCCAGCAGCCCTCGAAAGTGGCGACAGCTTCACAGATCGCAGCCCCCCAAGGATGGCGAGGTCCCATTTGAGTCTGCGGTGAGTACCCACTGTGTTGGGTCCCTCAGAAGCCCTCGAAAGTGGCGACAATTTCACAGATCGCAGCCCGCCAGGGATGGCGAGGTCCCATTAGAGTCTGCGATGAGTACCCATTGTGCTGGGCCCCCCAGCAGCCCTCGAAAGAGGTGACAGTTTCACAGATCGCAGCCCCCCAGGGATGGCGAGGTCCCATTTGAATCTGCGGTGGAGTACCCACTGTGCTGGGCCCCCCAGCAGCCCTCGAAAGTCGCGACGTTTCACAGATCGCAGCCCCCCAGGGATGGCGAGGTCCATTTGAGTCTGCGGTGAGTACCCACTGTGCTGGGCCCCCCAGCAGCCCTCGAAAGTGGCGACAGTTTCACAGATCGCAGCCCCCCAGGGATGGCGAGGTCTAATCAGCAGCCCTCGAAAGTGGCGACAGTTTCACAGATCGCAGCCCCCCAGGGATGGCGAGGTCTAATCTGAGTCCCCGTAGGGCGTCACTCCGCTGGGCCCCCCAGCAGCCCCCGAAAGTGGCGACAGTTCCACAGATCGCAGGCCCCCCCAGAGGATGGCGACGTCTAATCTGAGTCCCCGTAGGGCGTCACTCCGCTGGGCCCCCCAGCAGCCCTCGAAAGTGGCGACAGTTTCACAGATCGCAGCCCCCCCGGTGAGGGCGAGGTCTAATCTGAGGTCCCCGTAGGGCGTCACTCCGCTGGCCCACCCAGCAGCCTCGAAAGTGGCGACAGTTTCGCAGATCGCAGCCCCCCCCCCCCCCCCGGGACGGCGAGGTCGAATCCGAGTCCCCGTAGGGCGTCACTCCGCTGGGCGCCCCAGCAGTCTTCGGAAGTGGCAGCAGTTTCACAGATCGCAGCCCCCCAGGGATGGCGAGGTCTAATCTGAGTCCCCGTGGGGCGTCACTCCGCTGGCCACCCCAGCAGGAGAATGGGGGCGGGAGGAGGAGAAGGAAGGTGGAGACCGCAGTGCTCTATTCAAAACGAGTACCCAGCGCAGGAGGATTGGGAATCATTCCCCTGTGACGTACCCAACCCATTCGTATCAATGGAAACGAGGAGTTGGCCGAAACTTGTATGGACAATCGACTTGATGTGTAAGCTATTTGGGAGGCGCCACTGTGCTGGGCCCCGCAAGCAGGCCCCGACAGTGGCGACAGTTTCACAGATCGCAGTTCCCCAGGGATGGCGAGGTCTAATTTGAATCTGCGCAGCCCTCGAAAGTGGCGACCGTTTCGCAGATCGCAGCCCCCCAGGGACGGCGAGGTCTAATTTGAATCTGCGTGTGGGTACCCACTGTGCTGGGCCCCTCAGCAGCCCTCGAAAGTGGCGACCGTTTTACAGATCGCAGCCCCCCCAGGGGTGGTGAGGTCCAATACGAGTCTGCGATGAGTACGCACTGGGCTGGGTCCCTCAGCAGGCCTCGACAGTGGCGACAGTTTCACAGATCGCAGCCCCCCAGGGACGGCGAGGTCTAATTTGAATCTGCGTGTGGTACCCACTGTGCTGGGCCCCTCAGCAGCCCTCGAAAGTGGCGGCAGTTTCACAGATCGCAACCGCCCAGGGATGGCGAGGTCGAATCTGAGTCTGCGATGAGTACCCACTGTGCTGGGCCCCTCAGCAGCCCTCGAAAGTGGCGACCGTTTCACAGACGGCGCCCCCCAAGGATGGCGAGGTTACATTTGAGTCTGCGGTGAGTACCCATTGTGCTGGGCCCCATCAGAAGCCCTCGAAAATGGCGGCGGTTTCACAGATCACAGCCCCCCAGGGATGGCGAGGTCACATTTGAGTCTGCGGTGAGTGCCCACTGTGCTGGGCCCCTCAGCAGCCCTCGAAAGTGGCGACAGTTTCACAGATCGCAGCCCCCCAGGGATGGCGAGGTCACATTTGAGTCTGCGGTGAGTACCCACTGTGCTGGGCCCCTCAGCAGCCTTCGAACGCGGCGACCGTTTCACAGATCGCAGCCCCCCAGGGATGGCGAGGTTACATTTGAGTCTGCGGTGAGTACCCACTGTGTTGGGTCGGTCCCTCAGCAACCCCCGAAAGTGGCGACAATTTCACAGATCGCAGCCCCCCCCCCCAGTGCTGGCGAGGTCCCATTTGAGTCTGCGGTGGGTACCCACTGCGCTGGGCACCCCAGCGGCCCTCGAAAGTGGCGACAGCTTCACAGATCGCAGCCCCCCAAGGATGGCGAGGTCCCATTTGAGTCTGCGGTGAGTACCCACTGTGTTGGGTCCCTCAGAAGCCCTCGAAAGTGGCGACAATTTCACAGATCGCAGCCCGCCAGGGATGGCGAGGTCCCATTAGAGTCTGCGATGAGTACCCATTGTGCTGGGCCCCCCAGCAGCCCTCGAAAGAGGTGACAATTTCACAGATCGCAGCCCCCCAGGGATGGCGAGATCTTATGTGAGTCTGCGGTGAGTACCCACTGTGCTGGGCCCCCCAGCAGCCCTCGAAAGTCGCGACGGTTTCACAGATCGCAGCCCCCCAAGGATGGCGAGGTCCCATTTGAGTCTGCGGTGAGTACCCACTGTGCTGGGCCCCCCAGCAGCCCTCGAAAGTGGCGACAGTTTCACAGATCGCAGCCCCCCAGCTGGCACGCAGCGACGAGCGAGGCGAAAGGCAAGGGGGAAGAGGGGGGCGGGATGGCGGGAAGGAAGGAAGGAGACGCGCGAGCAGTGCTCTATTCAAAACGAGAACCCAACGCAGGAGGGTTGGGAATAAGAATCATCATCCTCATCATCACCATCATCATCATCAGCATCATCATCATCATCATCATCATCATCTTCATCTTCATCTTCATCTTCATCTTCATCCGCATCATCATCACACATGTCCTTAGGCGAGGACAACTGCCCTCGCGTGTAAGTCCGTTCGGCCTCTTCACTCTGATGCAGCATGCGTCAAGGCAGTGATAGTGGTGGTGATGGTGATTATGCGTATAGTGGTGTTGAACGCGCCGTGGATGTTGATGACGACGGCAGTGGTGCTTATGCCAGGATGCTGATGAAGATGGCGATGGTGATGTTGGAGATCGCGATAGTGGTCGGAGGAGTTGGCGGGAGACGGAGGAGGATGGAGGAGGAGGCGAAGGAAAAGGAGGAGAAGGAGGAGGAGGAAGAGGAGGAGAACGCGCACAATGACGAGCGGGCTGATCGGCCTCGAAGATCTTGACCCTCGTCACCCCCGCGGGCGACGTCGCACAGCTAGAGGAAATGGGGCGTTGCGTTGGTTCCCCCAGCGGCAGCAGTTGGGAACAGCGCGAAGGGGGGCGGGAGGCCATTGCAGGGGGTAGCGGGGAAGCGTGACGAGGGGATTGCAGACAGAGATTCAGATGGAGAGGGAGGGAGATGGCGAAGCATATGGAGGCGTGGGAGATGGACAGGGGCTGTGGGAGGCAGGCAGTCACAGGGGGACGGGATGGAAAAGGAGAGAGGGTCAGGTGGAGGGGGTGGGGATGTAGAGGGCGGCAAGAGGGGAACAAGAAATGGGAGCAGGGCGGGAAGGGAAGGGAGGCAGCCGGTTGCCACGTAGTGGGAGGAGGGTGGAGCGTGGATCTTGCAGGTGAACCGCCACCTGGTTCGCGACCTCATTGCCAGGGACTTGTGGACCGAGGCCAGAACCCTCTGCTTGTGTGAATGTGTATGTGTATGTGAATGTATGTGTATGTATGCATGTAGGTAGGTAGGTAGGTAGGTACGTACGTACGTGCGTACGTATGTGTACGTGTGTGTTTCTTGCTTCTCTCTTCGTGTCTATAGTGTTACATATATAAGTATGTATAAAAGGCTGCCGCCTCTGCCGCCGACCCGAGGGAGAGATGACTTAGCGCGTTTTACCGTGAATCGCATGTTTTACCCGCCCAGGGGGCCCCGAGTCGCTCCCGAGCCGCCAGAAAATCAATCCCAGACGCTCGTGATCGCCTCCACATGGCCCACCACGCCCCCAAGTCGCTCCAGGAAGGGCTCCAGACGGCCCAAAGCGCTTCCCGGGCGCTCCAAGGAGGTCCCTAGACGCCCCCCAGGAGGGCCCTAAGACGCAAAATTCATGGATGCCCAATCGATTTTCTAATGTTTTTTGGGGGCTCCCACGTGTTCGGCTCGCCGACGCTGCAAACCAGCCCTAGAAGCACCAACACCCGTCTCAAGAGGGGGCCAGGGCCCTCCCCCAACCCAAGGTCGCCCGCACTGCCCAAGAGGCCCCAAAGCCGCCCCAAGACACTTCCAGGACGGCCCCAAAAGGCACCGAGTCGCCCCCGAGCCGCCGGAAAATCACTACCAGACGCCCGTGGTCGCCGCGGGATGGCCCGCCACGCTCCCAAGGCGCTTCAGGAAGGCTTCCAGACGGCCCATCACGCAACGCAGACGCTCCAAGAGGGCCCTTAGACTGCCCCTAAGAGGGCCCCAATAGGCGAAATTCACAGGATCCCATTGGTTTTTCAATACCTTTCCCAACCATCCCCGCGTCATTCCTTCCTTCCTTACTCTTCCCCCTCCTCCTCCCTCCTCCCATCCCTGCCTCTGCTCTCCGCATCAGTCGGCCGTTTCGGTACACCATTCACGCGTTTCGTGGCCCCAGGCCCCACAGGGTTCTCCACCCAAGGTCCCAGAGGCGCAGCCCGCATGTTTCGGAGGTCCCAGAGGGCGACATTCCGGTTTCGGCACCGTCGCCGTCGTCGTCGCCGTCGTCGTCGTCGTCGTCGCACGCATGTTCTCGTCGTCGTCGCCGTCGTTGTCCGTCGTCGACTGTCGCCGTCGTCTGTCGTCGTCTTTGTCCTCCTCCATCGTCGCCTGTCGTCGTCGTCCGTCGTCAGTCGTCGTCGGCGTCGGCGTCGTCCGTCGTCGTCGTCGTCGTCGTCCGCCGTCGTCGTTGTCGTCTTTGTCGTTCGTCGTTGACGTCGTCGTCCGTCGTTGACGTCGTCGTTCGTCGTCGTCGTCGTCTGTCGTAGTCGTCGTCGCCTTCGTCGTCGTTGTCGACGTCGTCGTCCATCGTCTGTCGACGTCGTCGTCGTCGTCGGCGTCCGTCGGCGTCGGCGCTGGCCAGTCGTCCGTCATCGTCGTCGTCGTTGTCCGTCGTCGTCGTCGTCGGCGTCGTCGTCGTCCTCCGTTGTCGTCGTCGGCGTCGTCGTCGTCCGTCGTCGTTGTCGACGTCGTCGTCGTCGTCGTCGTCCGCCGTCGCAGGCGTTGGCGTCGGCGTCGTCGTCGTCCGTCGTCGACTTTGTCGTCCGTCGACGTCGACGTCCGTCGTCGTCGTCGTCGTGGGTCGTCGTTGTCGACGCCGTCGTCCGTCGTCGACGTCATCGTCCATCGTCGTCGTCGTCGTCATCGCCCTCAGCGTCGACGTCGTCGTCGTCACCGTCGTCGTCGTCGTCGTCGTCGTCGTCGTCGTCGTCGTCATCGACGTCTTCGGCCGTCCGTCGTCGTCGTCCGCCATCGTCGTCGTCGTCGACGTCGTTCGTCGCCGTTGTCGTGGACGTCGTCGTCGTTGTTGTCATCGTCGTCTTCGTCGTCGTCGTTGTCGTCGACGTCGTCGTTGTCGTCGTCGTCCGTCGTCGTCGTCGTCGCCCGTCGTCGGCGCAGCCGTCCCTCATCGGCGTCGTCGTCGTCGTGGCCGGCGTCGTCCTCGTCGTCGTCCATCGTCGTCGTCGTCGACGTCGTCTTCGTCGTCGTCCCTTTGTCGCCGACGTCGTCGTCGACGTCGTCGTAGTCGTCGTCCTTCGTCATCGTCGTCATCGCGGTCGTTGTTGTCGTCGTCGGTGTCGGCGCCGTCGACCATCGTCGCAGCCGCTCGTCGTCGTCGTCGACGTCGTCGTTCGTCGTTGGCCTCGTCCGTTGTCGTCGTCGACGGCGTCGTCCGTTGTCGACGGCGTCGTCGTAGTCCGTCGTCGTCGTCGTCGTCGTCGTTGTCGCCGTCGTCGACGTCTTCCGTCGTCTTCGATGTCGTCCGTCGTGGTCGCCGTCGACATCGTCGCCGCCGTCGTCGTAGACGCCGTCGTCGTCCGTCGTCGTCGTCGTCGTCCGTCGTCGCGGTTGTCGTCGTCGGCGTCCGTCGTCGTCGTCGTCGTCGTCGTCGTCGCCGTTGTTGTCGTCGTCGCCGTCGTCGTTGTTGTCGTCAGCCGTCCTCGGCGTCTTCGTCCGTCGCCGACGTCGTCGACCGTCGTCGTCGTCGTCGTCTTCGTCTGTCCTCGTCGTCGTTGTCGTCGACGTCGCCGTCATCGACGTCGTCATTCGTCGTCGTTGTCGTCGTCCATCGTCGTCGTCGTGTTCGCCTTCGTCGCCGTTGTCGTCGTCGTCCGTCGTAGTCGTTGTCGTCGATGTCCTCGTCCGTATCACCGTCGACCATCGACGTCGTCGCGGTCTTTCTCCTCCGTCGTCGTCTGTCGTGGTCGTCATCGTCCGTTGTCGTCGGCGTCGACGTCGTGGTCTTCAGCATCGTCGTCGTCCGTCGGCATCGTCGTCGTCGCCGTCGCCGTCGTCCGTGGTCGTAGTCATTGTCGTCGCCGTCGTTGTTTTCGTCGACGTCTTCGTCGTCGTCGGCGTCGTCGTCCATCGTCGTCGTCGTCCGTCGCCTTCGTCGTCGACGTCGACGTCGTCGTCCGTCGTCGTCGTCGTCGTCGTCGTCGTCGTCCCCATATGTCTCGTAAGAAGTGAACGGGGAGGGGGAGAGAGTCAGGGAGAAGGGAACGGGCAGGGGGGGGTGCGGGGAACGGATGATGGTGGCAGGGATGGGGCAGGGGAAGACGGGTGGAGTGGGAGGGGTGGGGGGGGCGAGAAGGGAGTTTGGGGATTGGCCAGTTAATGGATGGAGGAGTGGGGGAGGAGGAGAAAAGAGGGACGGGAGGAAGAGGATGTTGCTGAGGAGAAGAAAGAGTGTGTGTGAGTGTGTGTGTGTGAGTGGGGGGGGGGGGTGATCCTGTCGGTCATGAACGGCCCCCTCGCTGTGGCCGCACCTCAAGCAGGCGGCTACGTGGTCGTGGATTGGACTACCACCCCGGGCCTCATCCGCATCACCGGGTGGCACAACGTTGTACATCGCGTTCGTGGTGTTCCTCTTCTTCCTGGGCCTCCTCCGCATCATCCGGTGGCACAACGTTGCTCATCGCCTTCGTGGTCTTCTCTCTCCTGGGCGTCGACCTGGTCAAGTGGCGCGTCCTCCTCTGCAGTGCTTGAGGCTGGTGTTCGCGACGCGCCGGTGACGGCAACGCCACCTCCTTCGCCTTCCGGGTCTTCGCCCCCGGTCCATGTCCGCGGCGTACCTTTTCTTGTGCAAGCTCTTCGGCGCCGCCTGCACCCCGGGTTCCGCCCGCTCCGGCCGCTTGAGGCCCCGCCTCCTTGTGCCCTGTCTTCCTAATTAAAGCTGCGCGTCGCCAGCCTAGCTTTTAGCGGAAGAGGTTCGCTCCCCCCCCGCAGACTAAAATAGTGTGTGTGTGTGTGTGCGTGTCCGTGTGTGGGGGGGGGGGGTGAAGAGAGGGAGGATACGGAGGCGGTGTAGGAGAACGAGGAGGCGGATAGTGAAGAGGAGGAGGATGTCCAGATTGAGGACGGATATGAGAAGGAAAAGATCTGAGTTGAAGGAAGAATTCTTGGATAACGTGAGGGGAAAACAGGGGAAGGACGATGGTTAGACAAAGGATGCGGGATATTCATCATGAGCTCGTTTTCGCCCCCGTACATGGAAGGACCTGCGGTTGCAGCTCATCGCCAACAATGGCAGCGTGCAGCAGTTGGATGTTCCCGCCGACCTCAAGGCCCGTCACAGGGTAGTTTAGGAATGCGAGGTG